TGGGGATATGGATCTTCCTGAGAGTAAGACAATTCCACCAACTAATAATGCATAGTGCTGATAATATTCATCATCCAGGACACCTTTCATACAGGGTAGTGAATAGAAAAACAGCCAATTTCGGTACTCTGTTGCTGCAAAAAGATCAAAAACAGGTACCAGTGTTTCAATTTAACTAAAAAAGAAAAACAAATGAAATATACAGTACAGTCAGTGGAACCTTGATTTCACAAACCTCTGTTTAACAAAATCCTTGATATAACGAACAATATTCTTCAGCCAAGCCAAAGTTAGAGAGTGATATGTATGGAACAAAACCTTGATAAAACAAACCTCAATAAAACAAATTCCTCCTTATAATAAATGTAATCCAGAAGCCCAAACACAAAATCTACTGTCAACACACAAAAGAAGATGAACATGGAACAGACCATCAGCGATAAAAATCCTTTTATCTTTGTAACTCAAAACGCAGCAATAAGCTGCACTAATTTAGTGACAAAAGTTGCCCAGGTAAATGTGCGCGCCTCTACAAATCAATCATAAACTATACCTTGATGGAACATGTATTTGCTCGTTTCTCCTTGAGTTTATTATATGAAGGTTTTCAATGTAACAAACCCTCAATTAAACAAACCAATCCACCCATTCCCCTATGACTTTGTTAGATCAAGATTCCACTATACATATACAATTTTTTTTCAAATTTTAGACTTAAACTGAAAATCTGAAAGCTTATATTGTAAGAAATCATCCATTGTACAACTATAAAAATAACATTTTTTAAAGATAGTGAGACCTAACTTTCCAAAATTTTACATGATGTTCTATACTCCTAGGAACTCTGGTGATGACACTGGGGGGCTTTATCTCCAAAAGGCGCATATCAACTTTCTCAACACTATTTCCACAATACCACCTTTGCCCACTGTGTTTTGAGTTGACCACAAACCAACTAGTTGTTTTACCACCCCAAGGAACACACAGTGCATGGAATCTATACCAATTCCATTAACAGTGTCAAAACTTGGCAGCTGTAACAAGGGACTGGGGGACTTGAAGCCAGAGACCTATGAAGTACATGCAAAAAAATCTGAATCAAACCAAAGCTAGACATTATTAGTGATGGTATAATTTCTTATATTCAGATTGTATAGATATTGGCAGGACTGTATAGCTAGCCGTTTATCCCAATGTGAAAAAAAATAATAGACAATACCTCCATATTTAAATAAATTTAAAAAGTTCCATTTTACATCTGAACAAGATTGTGTTTGATGAAGAAATGAAAAATGCTGAAAATTGTGTTAAGGGAGCTACATCACCATTCGTGTATTTTCAAAAAATTGGCTAAACTTTTCAAAATTGTCTGAATATTATTTTATTTGATGACTTTGTGAGTTCATAAAATACAGTGTATTATTTTTAACTCGTGAATTGCGCGCATGCGCAAGAGCGAGTTATAGATACGATGTGGGGAATGGCATTCGCTCGCTCGATTGGTCGATTCCTGTAAACTTTTTTTAGATTTTAGGCTTTTGAGTGCATTTGATAGTTTTTGGCGAGCAATAAACAGACGAAATGGCGACCTCTGTTGCTAAGAATAGTGGTGGGGTGAAAAAGAAGCCAATGATAATCTTAAAAGAGTTTTTTTTTTTCGTTTTAGTTTCAACAAGCGGCGCCAGCGACTGGCAGGCATGCAAGGATTCACACTGAAATAACAGAACAACCTTCGTTTTTCATAAAATTGTAATTTAAAATCCTTGAACTTGAAAACAATCCGAAGATTCATTGAAAATATCACTTACTGCCAAGCGCTCGGAGTTTATAGATGTTCAAAAGCTTTTTCTGTTAAGGCGTGAGATTGAGGACAAAATTGATCATTACGTTTCGTCGCGTGTGTTTTTCCTGTGTGAAGCAACAGAAGATGCCGGCGACTGACGAAATAACAAGTTAACACGAAAATCAAATAACACCTAAACAAACAATTTTAGCTACCGATTTTCAGTGAATTTTTAAAGAACAATTTTCTTTTAAGTTTCAAGACAATTTGAAGATTCAACATACATACAACGTACTAAAATGCGAAAGTTACACACCACAAAATTGATAAATAGGCCTGAAATGAAATTCTATCTTGTTATTGATTATACGTTGCCTAGCACGTGACTTAAATCTACCCAGGCGGAGATCCAAAATGACGGTGGCAGGCTTGGCTTAGTTATATCACTCAAAACTCGTTCCCGTTTGTCTCATTTGATAAAGAGGGAATCGTTAATGTTTTCACTAAGACAGTATTGCCTTGATTTTCTAATATTTACAACGAAAGACAGTAAATTTCACTTTTCACCCACATTTACTTCCAACCTTTTATTTTGAACCAGAAACAAAAATGATCGAAGTTTAAAAAACATGACATCATCCACCTTGTCAAATGTAATAGCATGATCATTTCAATTGTAATGCCTTCTTATCCCAACGTTACTTGGTTTCTTTGCTACATCAGCGAACACTGAACTACTGCTCGTACTCTAGATATGACAATCAACCACAAAATTCCCTAAACCAGATAACATTAAACATAATCTAAAAAATCATGAGTCAATTCACGAGTTTGCTCACAGAGCACTTTGATTAGATGACAGTATTTAGGCAACCTGCTACTGTATTTTTTTTAAGTGCCTCAAATGAGTTGGCTGTGACTGCTCCTGCAGTTCGTGGTTAGTATATCCTGATGCTGTGTTTCTGAATGGAAATGACATCACATGGCCCCTGGGACCAATCTTGACAGTTTCACCATGCTCATCACAGCAGCTGTCGTGACCAACATATGTAACCTGTTCTAAGACACCAGCGCAGGCAGGAAGATCAAAATGGCTTGAGAGAGCCTTGACCTTAGATTTTGCTTTCAGTCCATCTGGAAGTACCACTTCAATTCCTGTTGGTTAAAATAGTTGATTAGTAATATATAAAAATAACCCACCATTAGTGTTGCCCAGAAGAATAAGAACCACACGAAATGTAAAATCCTGGTTTGTTTGACCAAAATTGTAACTTACTATTAATATCTGTTTCTTGCAAAGTGTTAACAAATGGTTTAAGGAACATAGAAAAGAAAGTTTTCTCTTCTCCAAACCACAGGCCACCAAACACCCTGAACTTGTTATTTCTCCTAGATAATCTGTATTCTGATTTTTGTGTTGTTACAGTGTGAAAGTTCAAAGTTCTACCTTCCAAAACAATAGGATATTAATTCATTATTGGTTTGCATGTTATGGACGGTAATGGTTAGGATTTTTCATTTCAGTTTACAAAGCACTAGCAAACAATTTACTCTCGTTGAAACCTTCAAAACTCAAAGCGATAGTCATTTCTCCAGTCTAGGCACAACCAACATATAATTTTATATTTTACCAGTTACATTAACAGTTTATGTCTGTGTGACATGACCATTTTTGTTTCACTTGCCTCATTGCTGGAGGGAGTTCATCGACAAGAAGAAACAGTGGCCAAACTCCAAACTGCGATGAATGAAATATTGCCACACCATCAGTGTTAAGCTTAACAGAGATGTTGTATGGTTCTGAGAGGAAGCCACCTGACTTAAACTCCTTTTGGTAGAGTGCACCATCATACACATCTTCAATGTTACTGTCATCCCTCTTCATTCTTTGAAATCAGTATTTTAAGCCAATTACAAATTCAGGGTCTGCAAAGAAGGTACTTTAGTTAAATAAAGTTTTTATATCTATGCCTATCTCAAAACATTTTGAAATCATTGGCCTTTCACCGGTATCAGTTAATCATATCAGTAACAAAATAAAGGCTACGAAGTCTGAAAACTTTTTTGCATGATAGTTGGTGTATTGTACAAACAGAAGAAAGAACAACAACTGTCAAACAAAGATGTCAAGGTACGTACGATAAAGAATTGTTTTGTCTTCAATTTGCGCTAATTGATTAACAGTCCAGAAGATCAATGTTAACACCGATTCGCGCCACATCAGAGAGCACTTTTGGTTTGGGATTCTTTTCGTGGCTATTTGACCGACGCTGTCAAGGACCTCCTTGAGAGACGAAATGTTGATGTTGCTGTTATTCCCGGTGGCCTGACGTCAGTTTTGCAGCCCCTAGACAAGTGCATAAACAAGCCTTTCAAAGCCAAACTCCGAATGTTGCATGAAACATGGATGGTAAATGGCCCGTTCACGTATACCCCATCTGGAAAGAAGAGAGCGCCGAGCAAAGAACTGGTGTTGACCTGCATCGATCGCGCCTGGAACGGAATTCCTCAAGATTTAATTGAGAAGTCGTTCAAATCCTGTGGAATCGCGAATGCGCTAGACGACTCAAAAGACGATGCAGTTTGGGAAGAAGAGAATGAAGAGACAGAAAAGGATGCAGGGGAGATTATTGACAATGAATTCGAGACCGACAGTGAAGGCGAAGAAGGAGAATAAAACGTACCTGCAGCAGTATTTATAGAACGGTTCTTTTCAGAACCACCAATTCGAGTAAAATCAATAACCAATATTCCCAGCCTTCTATCTATTTATTTTGTTTTATACCATGTTAAAGCTAGAAAATAGGACATTCTTGAATTTCGTTGCATGAAAATACTTGGCTATAAGACGCACCCCGAATCTGAGACAATTCAAAGGTGATAAGGCAAAATTTCTTTGAAAAATGGCCGTGCCTTATAACCGGAAAAATACGGTATTTTAGCGTAGCGGTAGCGTTGCGTCAAATGGCTCAGCGTAATTTCGAATGGTACAGCGTACACACAAACGGTGTAGTGTTATGTCGAATAGCTTTGCAGAGCATCACACGTTCTAGCTCAACGTCAAATTGCTTAGCAGTACATGAAATATTTCGATGTTGTGGCAAATCGTCGAGCTTGCTCGTGGCGTGAAGTAAAGGCTATCTCGCCGAAACCACCAAAAGTACCAACCGCAAATGGAACAGCGATCTACTGGAGGCATGACGTCATCGAGTGTAAAGATTGGAGCTTAACCACCACATGGTGTGGTCGCTGTGCTTAAAAGGCTTCACTTCGCCTTGCCGTAAAGCAGAGCCAATACGTAACTTTTCGGTAAGTTTTTCCTCTTTTTTCCCTGCTTATATCCACATTTATTCGTTATCGTTCATGAAAGCGTTGATTGAAATAGCAACAAGACTGAATTCTACCACGGTTTTCCGGCCTCCCGATTTACCGCAGTTTGCACGCGTCTGTTAGCCTGAATGTTTATAGTATTAAGCAGTATTATGACGTGCATTAAATGTCGCTTGTCGAGCTCTCTGCTCTTTTCTGACTCGCACTCAATTTTCAATAAGAGTTTAACTTCAACGACTCTTTCAAAATTACAGGAGTACGTGAGAAGTTGGATTTTGTGTGTGCCTTTGTGTGCAGAGTTGGACGCCATGGTAAGAAAACTGACATCCTTGACCTGTTTTGACATTTTTCAATCGAGTGATATTGAAGAAATGTAAAATGGTTTCCGTGTTTACATAGCCTGATGTAAACACGCGGGAGGTTGGGAGAACACGAGATAAGCGTAGGAAACCACGACGCGAAGCGGAGTGGTTTCCAGTTTATCGATTGTTCTCCCAACCTCCCATTTTACACCTTTTGGTATGTGCGCTGTGCCATTCGACATTGTGCTAAGGCATTTCACGCAACGCTACACCGTAGGCTGTACCATTCGACATTACGTTGAGCCATTTTACGCAAGCTACACCGTTTGTGTACTGTATTGCAAATGGTGCTTAGCTATTCGCAATTGAGCTAATCGATTTTACAATTTCATGTTCCAACTCGACATAGGCAACTAGACCGTTTATCATTTGGCTAAATTATTCATGTTTAGGGTGCTCTGTTTCACGAAGGAAAACTAAACCGTCTATAATTTGGCCATGCCATTCCTCTATAAACTATGCTATCCTGCAGCCGATCCTTAGACCAGCTTTGTATTTGCTGATCTATTTGACATCCTTGTATTTTTGGTGGTGACGGCCGCCTATAATTTCTCAGTCGGCAGTCTACATTTTGTATTCGGTCTGCAGTCTGCATTTTTTACTAGAAGGTATCCGTGGCACCAATACAGTTTACTTTTGGTTATAGTTATTCGCACAAAAGACACAATCTACCACAAAATACCGGTGTGTGAGTTAATTCGACATTTTCGTTCTTTTCCGCGTTAATACTCTTCTTTACTTTTGTAAAAATGTAGATACATTTACAATGTTTCAAGTAATCCACCCACCCCAAAATATAACTTTTGCATGCATAGTAAGCCTATGTTTGTTTATTGTGAGACGTAAAGAAAATAAATAAAACTTGATTGTTTTCTTGAAAATGTTAATCTGCAATTAGCTTTTTCTTATCTGATTGTGGCGTAAAAGATCCCCTGTCACGTGTTTAGAATTAACAATATTGAATGCGCGGCGACAGTAGCAGCTGGGTACCATCGTAAAGGTGTTTCACTCAAATAAACAACTTTCCAGCAGACTTAATTGAATCCATTTAATATCAAAAAGACCGTTGAAACTACATCAGTGTAGTAACTCAAGCATTTTTCACCATAAAGTAGCGAAGAACTTGATAAGTTGAGATCACACAATAAAACATAAAAAAGCCAACTACAAATTTCCTTCTCTAACTTTTTGTTTTGAAACCGTTAAGGGTTTCATACACATGGAAAACCTCAATACGAAAAAAAAATCTACGTATATCAACGTGCTAGGATTCCTTCTTCTTTACCAGCCTAATTCAGTAGTGCCAGACCCAAGGCAGAGGTAACGATCATCAGGATTACACTGGAAGAATATACAGACCCCGCGTTACAGTAGTCGGAGTCACAGCAGCCGACTGCGCATTTCCCGTCTTTAAACGCGTCACAAGCCTTTTTTATTTCTTCACAGGTGCTGCTACAAAAGTTATCCACAATGGTTACGGTATGGTTGTCTTTTTTGACCCAGGTCCTTATGCATTCACCGTCTGAGCAGTCTACCGACATGTTGGCTTTATTTGCTTCCAGTTTGCTCTTGCTACATTTCTCTTCGGATCCCGAACAAGAGTAGCACTTGAGGCTGTAAGCTGAAAGAAAGGAAATTAAGAAACTAAAATTTCAATGTGTTGCATATCCGCTCGCCAATTTTTGCCATACATATTTCGAAGTTTTTTCACACTCCATATATCGAAGCTTGTCAAATTCATTTTATTCTGCCAAAGAATTAAGTTCAACAGTATTGGAAATTAAACATGTGCCGAACTGAATTCGTGCTCAGATATATGCCGTATTCCGTGCTTTTAAGTGCGTGCATGACTGAGTCCGTTAGCGTCTATTGTGTATTTATAAAAACACTAGCGTAATTTATGCAATAGAATCGGAATAAGACACATTTTTCTCATCTCTTCTTTAAGAGTGGTGGAATACAATAGCAGCTACATAGATAACCCCGATTAATTCATGATATTGCTAGTTGTACAGGTGTTCCCTTACCAGAGCCTTCATTATTGTGAAAGTGAAAGTACACTAAGGACTTGTAATATTCAAGCGACGAAGTATTCTTTTTGTTGAAAGGAGAATCGATTTGAGCAAAGTTGTTTGTATGTCGCGATTTCCTCGTGCTCGAACCGAAGAGGATTCAGAAGTATTGATGGATGCGTTTTTGGTGTGGTATAGGTTCTGCACGAACTTTATGCCTCCTATGACGAGAGGAAGCAAACCGGAGAAAACAGGCAAATGCTCCTTCTCAAACGAAATAACACGGGATAAATGATACTTGGAAAGTTTCTTTTATTTGTTTCCCATTCTGCACGAACAAGGAAAATTTTAACGAAGGCTTTGAAACGTGATTTGACCAAACAGAACAAATCTAGGCTACAATAGAGAAAGGATTTCCTGGGCTTAGCAGGATTTCCACAAAGATTCCGTGTCACTCAATAAGAGCTGGCAGTATTATCAGAGGCAGTATTATGAAGCAAAATCGATAACACGAGAAACGAAATTGGAATAAACTCCACACATTAACATCACAAGCAGACGGAGAGGTTGGTATTCAGCTTAACGTTACACACAAACAACGCACACAGCTCAATCAAAGAGTTAACTTGTGCCTTAGCAAAGGGAAAGAAGGATGAGCCCGAGTGGACGTCACGGAAGGCCAGTGGCTCGAGGGAACAAAATTATTTCAGTTCAGTTTCGACGTGGCCAACATAAACGAATTCATAGCTTGTAAGGAGCTTGAAAGCGAAAGAAGGGTATGTCGACAGGAGAGATTGCTCGGACGGAACAGGTGGCGTTACTGTTCTCTTATTTCACGGTTGAACTTTACAATAACAAACAGAATAAACTTACCAGTTGCAAGAACTGCACAGAAGACAAAGATGCTCAGCACATGACCCTTCATTCTGCGTATCTCAGTGACTTTACGAACGTTGCAGCTTCCTCTAACAAAATCAGCGCCCTTCACAAACACCCTGTGTAATAGGGCGTTTTTATAACAGGGCCCTACCAATAAGATTACCAGTTTAAAATAGAGCGCCAATCAGGACACTCACTCGCAACTGTAAAATGTAAAAAATCTAATAGCAACAAACTGATTGCTTAATTAACGAAATGTGGTTCGTCAAGTATAACCCGGTCGTTATATGCTAATGATAGAAACAATTCAGAACAAATGAATAAATGTTCAAAATTCGAATAAATTGTGAACATTTATTCGGTCACTAAAAAAAATGCAGACTAATAAGAACGATTGTGGCTGCTTTTTTAAAAGGCGAATTCAATGGCCGCTTTTTAAGAGACAAAATCAGCAAAAAGGCGAGCATAATCACCAGCACTACACGTATGAGTGCACCTTCAGGACCTTTAGCCTCCACAGTCCAATGCATTCTCACGTGAATCACTTGTGTAAGCTCAAACTGGTCACGAGGATAGGAATAAAAGTTCAACAACATATCTATCTTTATGACGGCTCTGAGTATGAAGGAGAAATGTCACTACCACACACGATTTTAGACCTCTGGTGCCTTCCGTTTGCGATTAGTGTTCGAGCTAAAATACCCCTACAATCCAACGGCAGAATAATACAATACAATACAATATTTATTTTGCCATATACGACATTTACAGATGGAAAAAAAAAAAAAATGAAGAAAATTGATGACAGAAAATAAATGGCGAGAAAACCTGAAAGAAACCACGAGGCTTATAACAAGTCAGGCTTTTTCACTTAAAATAACTAATCTTATGTTAGAATTACGATATGGACTTATGGTAATTAACTTTGACCGCGCACACGTACACACACGCACACGCACACACATATTAAGTAAGTTAGTTAAAAATTACTGCCTTACAGAAGTTAATACCTAGAGAGAAGAAATTCCTTAAGCTTTCTTTTAAAAGAAGCGGAGGAGGGAGAACTAGTTATGTCAGAATTAAGCGAATTATAAAAGTTTGGACCTTGAAAGTAAATTGAAAACTTCCTGGTGTTCGTTCTGCACAGTGGCAAACGGAAGGACTGAGCATTCCTAGTATTATAATTGTGGATTTGACTATTCAGTAAAAAAAAGTTATTGAATTTGGAAGGGAGTGTAGAGTTCTCGAATGAAAACATAAAAGTACCTAATTGAAACGAATGGATACCATGAAATTTTAAGAGTTTAAGTTCCTTAAAAATAGGGCCAGTATGGGCAATGTATGTAGAATTGCTTACTATTCTTAACGCACGTTTCTAAGGTTACAATTCTTTGAAGGTTTGACTTATAGGTACCAGCCCAAGCTAAATTGCAATAATACAAATATGGAATGATCATAGAATTGTATAAAGTACGAAGGGAGTGAGTAGAGAGAAAAAACCTAGATTTATGAATAATACCTATAGATTTGGATAATTTATTTGCTGTTAAGGATATATGCGATTTCCAGGTCAAATTGTCATCTAATAAAACACCCAAAAACATGGTCTCAGAAACACGAAGAATAGGCTGCTCATTTATGAAAGCTTGAAATTCAAAGGATTGCTTCTTTTGCCAAGGCTTGAATACCATAAAATTAGTCTTGGCTAAATTCAAGGAGAGCCGTTTGCTGCAAACCAGGTTGACAATTTGTTTAATTCTCTATTTAATGTGTTAATTAGGTAAACAGGATCATTATGGGAGATAAATAAGTTTTTATCATCAGCAAACAAGATTGCATCAAGCAGGGAAGCATTGTTCAAATCATTAACATACAGGATAAAAAATAAGGGACCAAGAATAGAACCTTGAGGCACCCCACAGGGAATCCCCTGTGGGGCAGATCTAACGTTATTAAATTCGACAAATCACTCAATAATCACTCTACACAGCTGTTGTTCAGGTTTTCCAATCTTTACCTTACTCCTGCAACATAGGAGTCCATTCTTCCTCTTAAATTGCTTTATTTCTTAATCCAGTCACGGTGATAAAATCTGAGAGTTAGAAATTGTCGAAATTATTTCACGCGACTTTGTTTTACTTTAATTGCAAACACTATTTTTGGCACACCAATTAAAGAATTCCAATATCACTTTGATTGAACGATGTCAAAACACGTCAAGGATGTCATGAATTGCCTCTGCTTTACGGCAAGGCGAGAGACTCTCTAACACAGCGACCACACAATGTGGTGGTTTCGCGCCAATCTTTACATTCGATGACGTCATGCCTCCAGTAGATCGCTGTTCCATTTGCGGTTTGTATTTTCGGTGGTTTCGGCGAGATAGCCTGCCTTGTTATTACAAACAGTCATCCTTTTAGTTTAAACACTCTAACGAGGCCACTACTAAACAGTGACTATTGTTACATCCTTTTCCTTATTAAAAAAAAAACAACAAAAAAACAAGATAAACAAAAAAAAAACAAAACAAAACAAACGACGTAAGTGAGTTCAACTGTTCAAAGTTTGTGGAACGTAGAAAGCTTACATCCCAGTAACATAATCCCTTAAATAAGTTGGCTTCTTAACAACTCTGACTGATCGCGTCGTTGGGCCTCCCACAGGTAACCCACTAGGCTTAGCAAGTGGCTCCGGTTGCCGAGATGCCATCGCACGCCCATTGGTCGTATCCACTCGACCACTGGGTACGGTTGTCCGCTTACACGGCGCGGAGAGCTCATGACCTGTCTGTGCTTGTTCAGGTAAGGATGTCGACTGTTGATCCGATTGCTCAACGCCTTCTTCAGCCACCAAAGCAGGTCTTGAATTCCTGCAGGCCTCCTTTGTTTTCCTCAGGTGACGGCGATTTCGACGATATCTGGCTCCATCTTCGGTAGCCACCTCGAAGGACCGAGTTCCAACACACCTTTCAACCTTTGCTTTCACCGCTTCTTTACTCGGATTTCCAGGCGGCACGAGTTGCAATGTATCTCCACTTCTAACTGCTCTCAGATCCTTAGCCCCCCTTTTTTAAGCAAGGAATTGTCGTTCTTTCTTGGCGAGAAGTTTCTGATAGATCTTGGGCCCGACAACTGGCCTGAGAAGCTTAGGAATGATGGGTAGTTGTGCTCTTGTGCGCCTTGACATCAATCGCTGCACTGGACTGGTGCCCAATCCCTGACTAGGCGTGTTTCTGTATTCGAGGAGAGCGAGGTATGGATCTGTTCTGGCTTTTCTTGACTTCCTCATTTTTAGCGGAGTTAACAGCTGCTTCTACCTTTCCGTGGCTTTGCGGATAAGCTGGCGAACTTACATGCACAAAGTTCCACTGGCGACTGAATTCCTTAAATTCAGTTGAGGTAGACTGAGGACCGTTGTCAGATACACACGGCTCCAGGATTCCATTCCTTGCAAAGTGCGACTTTAACTTCTGTACTACCGCCCCCGAAGTAGTTTTGTCAAGGGAATCGATTTCCCAGAAAGAAGAATAGTAATCAACACAAATGAGACAGTTTCGACCCCTGTAAGTGAACAAGTCAACTCCAACTTTCGCCCATGGCCGGTCGGGCACTTCATGAGGAATGAGAGTCTCCTTAGGCTGCTTCCGGTCAAACGCCCTGCAGACATCACACATTTCAATAAACTGCTTGATTTCAGCGCTCATTCCTGGCCAGTATATACTTTCTCTAGCGAGCAAAAGGGCGCTTACAACTCCACTATGAGCATAATGCAGACGATACAACATGTCTCGACGCAGCGACTTTGGGACCACTACTGTTTCTCCTCTAATGACAATGCCATCGCAGACGCTCAACTCATCACGAACGTCAAAGAAGGGCAACACCAGGTGAGATAGCTCTCCTTTAGTTTCAGGCCAACCAGCCTTGATGACTTTAATCAGTTCTAGAAGGCTGTTATCCTTCTGCGTGTGGTCTGGAATTTCTTGAAGCGTACTCGGCTTCAAACGGATGTGTGCTGCGTCATGTTGATACTCTCAATCTTTAAAGCGACATCCTGGCTTCCATCGTAGGGTTAATAAGCCCAACTAGGGTGTCGGCCAGATCCATGGTGGAGCCCTTCTTGTAGCCAAGGCTGACGTTGTACAACTGGACTCGCATGAGCATGCGCTGAAGCCTCTTCGGAGTTCGATGCAGTGGCTTCTTGAAAATAACTTCCAGAGGCTTGTGGTCTGATTCCACAAACACTTCTTTTACCGTAAGTGTAAGTATGAAACCTTTCCAAATCGTAAACAACAGCCAAAAGCTCCTTCTCAATCCGGGCGTACCAAGACTCTGCATCGGTTAGCGCACGGCTCGCACAGGCAATCGGCTGACCCTTCTGAAGTAGGATGGCACCCAGTCCTTAATCTGATGCATCGCACTGTAAGGTGAGGCTCTCTGTTGAGTCGAAAAATTTGAGGACAGGTGCCTTTGTGACCAGCAGCTTCACTTGTCGGACAGCACTGTCATGTATGTCAGTCCAGAACCACTCTACATCTGGTGAACTGAGCTTACAGAGTGGCTCCAATGCATCACTTAGTCGAGGCAAGAACTTGCTCAGGTAATTTGTGAATCCAATAAATCTTCGTACACTGGCCACGTCAGTTGGCGTGAGCATTTTCAACACCGCCTTAACTTTTGCGGGATCTGCTTGAAGACCCTTTCTGATATCACGTGACCCATAAATAGGACTTCTTTGCGTCGCAGATTCACCTTGTCCTGGTTCAACTTAATGTTCTACTCCCGGCACCTCCGCATTAAGGAGTGGAAATTGTTGTCATGATCTGTCCGTGCTTCTTCCACTGTAGACCCCTCGCCAAAAATAAAGATATCACCATGAATGGTTAATACACCTGTCAGGCCGTCAAGTGCCTGGTTAAGCCTTCGTTGAAACTCCTCCTCCACAAAGACCAAAGGGCAGGCGACGCCAGCAAAATCTTCCAAAGGGAGAATTTAATGTTGTTAAGCGTGAACTGTCATCGTCAAGGTCAACGTGCCAGAAACCGTTCTTTGCGTCCACAGTTGAGAACACTTTAACCCTGGTAGGCTCAGGTAGAATGTTTCAACTGTCGGGGTTGGATAGTGGCTCCTCCTAAGAACTTTGTTGAGGTCCTTAGGGTCCAAGCAAACACGAATCTGTCCATTAGGTTTTTGCACGATAACGAAGCTCGAAACCCAAGGGGTAGGCTCTATGACTTTTTCTGTGATCCCGAGACTCTGCAACCGTTCCAACTCTCGTTTCAGCTTTCCCTTGAGCGCGACCGGTACTCGTCTGGGAGGATGGACCACTGGCTTAGCATTCTCTTCAATTTCCAGCTTGTACTGCCCCTTCAATTTTCCAGTGCCTTGAAACACATCTGGGTACTCCTTTAAGACCTCTTCCATCGAAAGGGGACCCTGACTACCGCGCTGAACCTCAGTATTGACGGTCATAACATTTTGGTGTTGCACCCTGACCAAATCCATCTGCTGCATCGCTGGATTTCCTAAAATCGGTGTTGACTGGTCATCGTCCACAACAACAAATTCGATCTGATACGTTTTGGAATTCTTGGGGTTAAATACAGCTACAGTGCACGTTCCAAGAGGTTTCATGATGGTGTTGTTATACATTGTGAGTAATTTCCGCGTGGGAAACAGTTCGGCTAAGAAACTTTGCGGGAATCAAATTGCATGTTGCGCCACTATCCAGTTGAAACTTAACTAGTGTGTTTTCGACGCTAATCGTAGCAAACAAATTTTTAGCATATTCCAGATCGCTTGCTACATGAACCCTAACTACTTAACTTTCATCCACCGAGTGGAGCGTGAGGCAGTATTCATCGATCTCGCTTTCACTTTCTGATTCGACGACGTTCACTCTCGTTTTAGAAAGGCATTGAGAAGCGAAATGATTCATTCTTCCGCAAACCGAACACCTCTTCCCGAACGCTGGGCAACTTTTCTTGGCAGCACGATGTTTTCCACCTCAGAATTTGTATCTCTCGCGTTCCGATCATCATTTTCCCGCCTTTTGGTCGCAGACTTGTCATGGCTTTTGTAAGCTGATACCTTGCCGCGCTTCGTTTGGTCCTTCAATGAGTTTACTGCTTCGCCCTCTTCCAAAGTTTTGGTCCGTGTTTTCGACAACTCGGCTGCTCTACAAATGCTGAGGGATCTTTGTAAATCAAGATCTGGGATCTTAAGAAGTTCTTCTCGAAGTTGCTTAGGGTTTCTGGATTCCACAAATGATCCGGTCTCTCACCAGCGAATCTTTAAGATCACCGAAGTTACAGGTCGCGGCGAACGGCTTCAAATCTGTAACGGACTTTTCTTGTGATTCACCCGGGTCCTGAGTACGGGAGAAAACTTGAACCCCACAACAGTTTCATTTTTTCTGGGATTACAATGCCCGTCGAACACTTCTAACACCTACGTTAAGGTTCTTTCCTAGGCGGGAATTTCGAAGGCCATCGAATCATAAATTTCTCTTCCTTGATTGCCGATTAAATACAGAAATAACTTTTAAGTTACTTTCGTTGCTTCGTCTCTGCAGTTCTTTGCCAGATCCATGTACAATTCTAATTCTTGCTTCCATCTTTTCCAACTGTCAGCCAAGTTTGTCGCATCAAAGTCTAACTGAGCGGGAGATTAAAGCTGCGTAACCCTGTCAGTCGTTCCCGCATTTGCACTTGCCTGTTGTCCGTCAGAGTTTCAAATAAAATAAATTGAAGTAATTTAAAAGGTGTAAAATAGGACCTGAAAAAAATTCAGGTCCTATTTTCAACTACTAGTTCAGTAGTGTTCTTAGCTGCGAGGATCTCTGAAATTCGTTTCTTTACCGCAGTGCAAATAAATGCGAGAGTCCTTTGAGGTTAGAAAGCAAATCTGTGATATGAGTACATTGGATTAATTGGCAATTTGCATTTAACATAATTGACTGCTGCTTCATGAGAAAATCCATATTAATGTAGAGATTTACTAAAACTTAGTTTGAATAATAAATTTCATGATCTTTAAGTTATAAACATATACATGTATGTATATCTCTTGGTAAAAATTTTGTATAGCATACTTTTTATTGAGCCAAAGTTTGAAGCCTCTAAAATTACTCCTTTTCTTAAAACCTTCAC